TGACAAACGTAACAGGTGGCCACACCATTTTATCCTCTGTCTTTCTATGTAACGCAGGCAGGATTCAGTGCCGATAGCTGCTCTTACTTCTTCATTTCTCTGCCTGTCTCGTCTTGTGATGTTAAGGGTTTTGAGGAGACATTTCGTTTCGCATGCAGTGATTTTACACTGTCATCCACTGTCCTTCTTTAATTCTGCTCTCCTGGGCTCCTGACTCTTTCTGCCCCCACCCCTCACCTCCTTTGCCCCCTCCTCTGGGCTCCTGACTCTTTTTGAGGCTACTCCTTGGCCCCTCCTTACTGCTGTCTTTCATCCACATCCCTGATCTTCTGGTAGGTAAGATCAAACACCTAGCCTTCTCGGATAAGGACGAAAAATCTTGAAGGTCCCGTGTGCAAGTTGTGCACGTTAGAGATCCCCTGGTTGTCCAAATTCGATAAGAGTAGGTTTTGCCACCACCCGCGCAAAATTCAAAATTTCCTTCCAGCTTAAAACGTTTAATGTGTCCCACGCGCTCATATGACCTTATACAGTTGCGAGCGCCGTAAAACACTTACCGAAACAAAAAACCAATAATAATCCTGGTGCTGCAGAAACTCTTCTGTCTCTCAAGATCCACGAAAAACTAGACGTGTTTGCTTGTGTTTCTGCAACTTTTCTAAACCTTTTCACAGGGTCGGGTAGTTGGTCCTCCGCCATCTGGCTCCCTGTTCCTTCCAGGTACTGTCCCACTCAGTGCACACTTCAGAAAATGTTGTCTTTTTTAAAAATAAGCACCAAGTTCGAATACGGTCCCCCATATCTGAAGTCTATGTTGTCGTTTTTAAGCACAAGGGGGCTATCCCGAAAAATGTTGTTTTGAGAAAACCGAAGGCAATGTTTTTGCCCCATGTTCAGTTTCTAAAAGACAAGGTGAATTTTCTCTATAACCAAACAAATATACACACCAATGAAACCAAACTTCTCCTAGAGGTAGGGAAATGCCCACTTTTGGTGTAGGTCAAGATTTCTGGAAACCCCCGAAAAATGGGTTAGCCCGCTTGTCCTTTAAAGCGACCATAATATATTTCAGCGGTTTATCCTTTAACCCTTATTCATGTAGTGCTGTTGTGGTTATATAATTCAGTGGTTTCATCTTTAACCCTTGTTCATCTAGTGCTGTTGCCGCTTTATGACGCTGCGTTGTCTTCCATTTCGCTTCCTCACATCTAAGTGTTCATTAAAGATGTTAACGTATAGTAGCGACTCAGAAAGATTAGCCATAAATCAAACTACTTTTGGATGACATGGAGTATAATCTATACATATTATATTTGTGAAAGTCCGTCGCCTAAAACTTCCCAACCACTTAACTTTCGAATTTGACAAAATAAATGGTGGTTCAGAATCATTTAAAGGGTGCACAGTTCTATTGAGGAGCCTGAAGTCATTGTAGTTTAATTTTCAGTTTTTCATTAGTTTCGTTTAGATCTAATCTTGGGAAAGTCCGTCTTCTAAGACGCCATTGTAAACAAGTGAGGTTTCCGTTCTACAGCCGTGAGCCCTGTTTCCAAACCTTTGAAATTCTGGAGTGTACAACCACGAAAGCGGAATAGAGAATCAATCTGTACATCACTATATCTAAACCTTCTAATTTTTTGCATCTCTCAAGATTTATTGCTCCATCGCAGTAGAGTGTAAATATAGTAGGCCAATGACTTTGAGTTGATGTTAATGCACCGATCATTCCTTTCACCGAGAAGGCCCAGCTAGATAGAATATCATGACATAATTGCCCTTTGCGTCTATGCAGAACGTCATGGATCTGTTCATGGATCTGTTCATGGATCTGTTCATGGATCTGTTCATGGATCTGTTC